ACAGGCCTTTCTCATCTTTTTAAGTGGGAGAACTTGCACAATTGGTGGCTGACTAAATACTTTTTTGCCCCACTGTAGTTCACAATAGATGGTGTGAAAAATGTTTCACATTTAAAACACTCCATTTTGAGTTTGAAGCCATTGTTGAATGTGAATTATAGACAATGTGTCTTAAAAACTGGCTTCTAGGGAGAATCGCAGAAGAGGGCAATTGTCTTCCTGCTCAATAAGCTTTCTGAATGCATCTGAGTGGCCATTGTGACATAGAATGCTGTGTTAGATGGATCATTGGCCTGATCCAGCAGAGCTTTTCTTATGTTCTTAAATGTTACACTAATTACCAGATGGTTGGTGTTTTTCTCCACTATTTTAACAAGCATGGATGAGTTGAGCCTTCTGCTACATCTTTTTTTTAGATAATTTGATAGTCTCCTTTGGGCTTTCCTTTATCTTTAAAAAAAATTATAATGTGATTGTTAATGAGGGAAAAGTACTTTAAACACTGTCCTTATAGTTTTATCTCAGTACTAAATATAGGAAAAAGTATCTATGAGAGAAAAATTAAAACAATATATTCATTTTTTTCCTTTGTTTCAAGACAGAGAAGGCAAGTCTGATGCACTTCCTGGACTTCTTTTCAGTCATTCTTCTCACCGTGATTTGGGCTATCTGTCCTCGAGACAGTTTAGCTGTGCTAAGCCAGTGGATCCAGGACAGGTTTCGAGAGGTAAGTTAATTGAGTCCTGCATTGCATCTTATATTTAAATTTGTCTAATTCCCACATTAGTTTCAAATCACTTCTATCACAAAGCTGCCAGATCCTGTTGGAAACAAGATGTTGCATACAATAGATTCAAGTTTGATCTAGGAGAGCTGTTGCATTTCTGAATGCTGGGAGAAACTGTAGATTAGCCTCTGTGAATAGCTGATATTGCAAGCCTTGTGACTTGCCTTTTCTCCATAGGATGGTGTTAAGAACTTGATCTCCCTGATTTAAGAACTAATGAGTGCACACATTAACCAGGATCCCATCTGTGATCTACTTCAGCTTACTAAGTTGGGCTACTTTGATCCATAGTGGGTCAGGGGCTTTTCTTTAGTCTGATGCAAAGCAATGCTCAGCCTCAAATGCTGCCCTTTTCACCTTTGTTCTTTGTTTCATACACACTTGTCCATTCTTTTGCCATGGCAAAGAACTGGTTTATCTGGGAACCCTACTGTTTATTTGCTAATCAGTAGGCTCATGACGTATACCTCACAAGATTGGTCAGTAATTTAAACAATGGACTAATTTGTGAAAGATACTACATTTTTGTTAGCTTCTCAACTTGGACTGATGAAAGCTGAGAGGAAATGTCTTTCTTTTATTTTCCTTGCACATTCTCTGAACCCAGAACAGTTTTCTTATTATTTTATTCTAGTAGCTATATATATTCTACTGAGTGATATAACAGTTCCCTATAATCAATAATTTAAATTCAGTTGTAGCATTCATCATCTGTCATATTAACTGTTGGAAGGATGGCATGCATTTTGTGGTTGAACTGTCTTCTCTTTTTATTTATGCTATTCCTTTAGTCCAGAACTTTGAATGCCTAGAGATCCTTCCACTTGGCTTCTTGTGGCTGGATGCTGCAAAATTCATTACTCTGAAACAAAGAAGAGAATAAATGCCCTTATTTTTTCTGTAAAACTTCTTATTACACTTGTTCTTCCTGCCAGTCAGGAATAAAATCAGAGATGTAGGAAAAGGCAGTTCAGTTGCCTAGCCTAAATCAGCTGAAGGAACTGTCAGAAGGATCAATGACACTTCAGTAGTGAGCTTTCTTCATAGTTCAAAAGATGCCAAACCCAATTTTTTGCTTGTTATATCTGGCAGTTTCTTTCTCTTCATGTTGCAGAAATGGAAAAATTGGGGGTGGCACATTTTGTTTTTTTCTAAAGGGAAATGCCAGGGAAATCTCTAGGGTTAGTGTTGGTTTTTCCTAGTTTCTATAGGTATCTGGGTGGATGTGCTGTTCTTACTCCTTAGTAAACATTTCCTGCTTTTGCGGTACTAAGAGATTGAAGCCAAAGAAGTACTTAGATCACTGTTTCTCAACCTTAGCAATTTTAAGACAAGTGGACTTCAGCTCCCAAAATTCCCCAGCCAGCATGCCGGCTGGGGAATTCTGGGAATTAAGTCCACGCGTCTTAAAATTGCTGAGGTTGAGAAACACTGATTTAGATGGTAACAGCAAAATAGTTTTGTGTCTCTTTTGCACTGCAATTGGTTCATTTCTAGTTTGAATGATCTAGTAAGAATAATTTTAGAATCTTATTTTCTTTTGCATTTCCTATGCCCCTTAAAGATCTTTCAAGATTTATGGGTTTGTTTATTAACTCAGGTTTATATGCCATACTAGTTGAAGACTCTGAGCCACTTATAAAATCAATATATACAGTAGTAGGGTTAAAAGACAGCACAAAACCAGGGATGAAAAGCAGCTAATAAAGATAACTGACCTCAGAATTATGCAGTTCATATTCAGGTCATCTTGCCTTGATATTGCTTTACAACTCCTTATTACTGTTTCATATGTTGTAATAGAGTTTTATATCTTTATATTTTAAATTGTATAAATGTATTTTAATGTTTTTATTGCTTAAGAGTATAATAATATATAAGTACATAAATAAAGCCTGTTCTCACTTTCTACAGATAACTGGGAAAATCGTGGCAAGTGGCTTAGTTATTTTCCATTCTATTATACTTATGTTTATGTTTAGATAAAATGTTTATTTTATATTTATTGTTTACAAACAGTTACAAGATAAGAACAGATTTGGCCAGGGATTGATCATGGTAGTTAGGATTTTTCACTATACCTGTAAAATGGAACCAATTATTTCTACTATAAATGGCATAAACCAAAGATTATGTATTTATGGATTTATACATTTGGCAGATTGTGGCTTTTACTTTAAGGTTTATTCTATTTATGTTACTTTTTTAAAATCTAGAAATATATCCCTAGTGTAACCCCTGTCAGTGTCAGGATGCTCAGGAAGCTCATTTGGTACCCCCCCCCCAGTCTTATCTCTCTCGATTTTGTGTATGTGTCTGTGTGTATACTTTTGTGTTGGTCTTGACTCCTGGTAACTGCCTGAACAAGTACCTTAAGTTTTCTTGGCAACATTTTCAGAAGTGGTTTGCCATTGCCTTCTTCCTAGGGCTGAGGGTGTGTGACTGACCCAAGGTCACCCAGCTGGCTTCAGGCTCAAGGCAGGACTAAAACTCACAGTTTCCTGGTTTCTAGTCTGGTACCTTCACCACTACACCAAACTGGCTCTGATTTTTTGTTGGATTCTTTTAATTTATAGAATGCATGAGACGCTAGTGTGCTGCAAAGGAAAATGGCAACATTTAGCATTTCTTCTGTTTCCAGCAATGCTTCTGATCCCCATTGAGGACCTTATTATATTGCCTCATGCCCTCATCACCACCTGCTTAAACTACTGGAGATGTTCTACATGGGGCCGTCCTTAAAGATCACCTGAAAGTTACAATTAGTGCAAACTGCAGTGGCCCAGATGCTTATTGACAGTTGTCCGTGAGATCATATTATGCTTGCATTGGATCCCTGTCAACATCTGATTTAAAGTGTTGGCTTTCACCTATGTTGCTCTTCAAGGCTTGGCTCTAAGTTACTTGTAGAACCTCATCCCAACATTGGAATTAGCTTGACTGATCATGCTGGGAGAAGCAGCTGGCTCTTCCCCATTTTGGGGAGGTTAAGAGGGCTGAAGCCCAGAAATATTGCTTTTCCTTGATAGGACCAGCCCTCTGGAACGGCCTCCCATTCGGGATTCAATTAGCACTGACATTATCTGCCTTCCAGAAGAAATCGAAGATGGGCGTTTGGGAAGTGATGCCAACTATTTATTGTTAAGTGGGGTTGTGGTTTTTTTTTTTCCTGGTATTGCTTTTTGTATTATTTTATATATATCGTGTTTTAATTTGGTTATAAGCTGCCAAGAGTCTGTTTGGATTGCAGTGGGGTATAATTTCAATAAACAAGTAATAAATCTATACCCCTGAGGTATTCATACAAAATAAAAATTGTAGGGGGTGACAGTCCAGTGCTTTCTTTGGAAAAAAAATAAGAGATAAGCAGTATCTTTTCCATGCCTCATTATTCCAGGAAAAGATGCATTTGGCTTAAGGACGTGCTGATGGGCCTGCCATGCTCACCATGTGCACTCTGGAACATTTTTTTCCCCTTTTTAATTCTAGTCCCTGCACAGCCCTACTGATATTGCTAAGAAAATTCACCCTTGCATTTAGTAGAAAGTCAGTGAGGGTAATTTTGGGGTTTTTGTTTGGTAAGAAGAAACTTTTATTTCAGAAAGCAGCAAGTGTAAATGTTGGGGTGTTCTTCCTCTTATTTCATTCTAGTTCCTTTTTGATAGACCATACAGCAGGAGTTTAGAAGCTGAAGCTGACAAAGTTGGACTTCAGTTTGTTGCTAAGGTAAGAATTGCCTTTCTTCAAATCGTACTAGGGCTTCAGTTGAATTAATTTTCAGTAGATGGTGTTGTTGACAGATAGCTTCCCCATCTAGTTGTAATGTCTTTCCATTTTTAATTTTAGTCCTGGGATTATTTTCTTCCTCTGTCATTATGTTCTTAATACATATATTAAGAACGGCTGAGGGAACTGGGCATGTTTAGCTTAAGGAAGAGAAGACTGAGGGGAGACATGATAGCAGTCTTCCAGTACTTGAAGGGCTGCCACAGGGAAGATGGTGTCGATTTTTCTTCATAATACCTGACTAGAAGCAATGGGTGGAAGCTCGTCAGAGGGAGATCTGACCTGGAAGTAAGGAGGAATTTCCTGACAGTGAGAACTATTAAGCAGTAGAACAGCTTGCCTCCCAGAGCTGTGGACGCTCCATCGCTGGAGGTTTTCAAGAAACGATTGGACAACCGTTTGTCTGAGATGGTATGAGGACTCTTGCCTTGGGCAGAGGGTTGGACTAGAAGACCTCCAAGGTCCCTTCCAACCCTATGATTCTATGATTCTATATACACTTATAGTATATATGAGACATGCATATCATTATATACCATCACTGCCACCTAGTGATAATAAGAAAATTATGTGTTAGGATTTTAGAATATGTGAATTGTTGGGATTGCTAAATATAGCATTATATTTAAATATTGTTGTTAAAGTTCTAATGCATGTTAATTAACAGCAATCTCAGCAACCTTCCTTTATATTTGTGGGCCAGAATTCTTCAAGTTCCTTTCCAGGATTTTATTGTGTATAACATGATGTATAAATTGAAATGGATTCTATAGAAAAATGACACTGTACTACTTTATTGCCATAATAGAAAAGCCATTCCTTTCGAAAAAGGGAAGATAGAGTAAACAAAGTAATCTTTTTTTAGTCAGTGACAAGCACAAGGAAAGATGGGGTAAGCAGTGAACCCCAAATAACTATCATCTTTCAATCCATAACAACATCTATTAAACAATTGGAACATAACATGTTCCTACATGCTACATGCTCTCCACTGCTATTCATATACAGTATGTGCTGTGGTACTGACATGAAAATGCAAGCTTGCTCTTGTTGTCAAGAGAGTTGTATGAACCCATTGTCTATCTGTGCTGATTCTTCTCCTAGGCATCTGCAGAAAGCTTTACCATACCACTTTCATATCTTTTCACTATCAAGCAGCCTTTTACCACAGATGGCATGTATGAGTGGAACACAAATCTATTTTATTTATTTCGTTTATTTATTACATTGATTTATATGGCCACCCATCTCACAAATGCAACATTGCACTAAAAGCAAAGCAAAGAAAAACCAACAGTGGTCACCAAAGGTGAACCCAAACAAAACCATTAATGAAGACCTCTCAATGGGCCATTTAATCTCCCCACCCTGAGGCCCTGGAGCATATCCAGATCTTCAGGCTTTATGAAAGGCCAGCAAGCTCAGGGCCAATCTGATCCTGGGGCGTATAGTGTTCTGTTAAGTGGAATCGGTGAGGCTACAAATACTTGTTAAATAAAACTTTTAAGATACAGCAGAATTTAACCCATTTATCCCTATAAGTATTTTCTTTCTTTCAATATCTTCCGTATTTATAAAGAATATTTTATAATATTCTGTGTTATTGTTTTCACATTGCTATAGCAGTTTCTTTTGTGTTTGTGCATGTGTGTTTTGCTTGTAAAGGTCCACATCTTAGTTCAGATTGTTTTGTTTCTTTTGGCAGAATTGGTATCTCCTTCTCTTATATTTGCATGTGAGTTAGTTACTCATCCTCTGTCTTAATCAGCTACATGGTTAAATTCTTCTTCTGTTTCAGTTAGTTAAGATGGCTTCCTCTGGGCACTATCAAAATTCAAGCGAAACTTACTAAGGAGGAAGAGGGCAAAGGTGCCTACTTCCTCTCAAACCACTTGATATATTCTACCCGTGTAGATTTGTTTGAAGTAAGGAGAAAGTAGGGTGGGGAGGAGACAAATTGATTTGCTACCAAGCTAAAAATATTATGATCAGGCATTCCAGGAAGTACCTACCCCATTATGCCAGTTGCTTAAAATTCTTCCTCCTATGAGTGAGTGCCTGAATAATTTTGACTTCTAAGCTAGGATGTTTAGAAGTTCCAAACATTCTCTGCAGTAATTATGCCAGTTGTGGAATTCTGGGAGTTGAAGTCCATGCATCTAGGGGCTTCTAGGTTAGAGAAGGCTAGTTCTGACTCAAAGTTTTGAACAGTAGATGACTGACAAATAAATAAATACATCCTATTTTTTTCCAGCCAGCCTTTCAGTGCATATTTAATCAACATGTTCTATTTCTGCCATGAATGTCAATGGACAAGGCTCTCTTATTGCCCACTGCAGTTCTTTCACTCTTCTCCCAGAAGCTGTTCATTTTTAGAAATGGCGTAATGAAAGATAGTCATTTGAATCAATTCAGACAATTTCACAGATGTTTACAGAAATCTCTGGATACCTCTGTAGATGCCCATCAAGCTCCCAAATCACACCGACTTTTAAAAAAAGATTCTTCTTTTAAACAGGCATGCTAAAAAACAGAGCACCAGCCTCTAGCATTAGAGCCCCACAGAGTTCCTATAGGGATGATGAGTTCACCTGGTAAATGAATGTTTTGTTATTGGACATCCCTAGTGCGATAGCCATTTTGTCATCAGGCAAATTTCCCATGGCAGTCATTTTGTGATAGTGCCCACCATGTGTTCTCAAAGTGTAAAATGAACCACGGCCAGAAAAGGTTGCCCATCACAGTATAGTAGACCGAATATGCAATCCAGTGCGTAGAACATTGAGAATAATTCCAGTTCAGTGGTTGTTTCTTCTCCCAGCAAAAGTTCTGTTTGTTTGATTTGCGTTACTGCTTCAACAAGAATATTTAGTCATCTGAAGACACCCTTTAGTTTTTAATCAAAAAATGTACACCACTTTGCTAATATGTGTTGCTATTTAAACCATGAATATGAAGTAGGAAAACCTTGAAAGAAAAAAGGAAGAAGCATTTGCCCTCTGCTTTTTTTATTATTATTTTTTTATTTTCTTCTTATTGCCCCATTCACTTCTAAAGCAAGAAGGTCTACCAATTAATTTGGTTTCTCAGTAGGGGATGTCATAGTTCCTGCAATGAAAAAGGTCCGGAAGCTTTTCCATGCTCACTCTTTCTCTACTTCCTTGCTGGCAGCAACTTCCCTGGCATAGTACAATGCCTAATGAAGATTGTGACTTTAGCAAAACATCTGCTTCAGCCTTGAATTTAACAATTGGCTTTTATTTTATCAAGGCTATACATTATCTCAAAGTTTGAGCCAATTTGGAGTAGTGGATAACGCATCAGGCTAGAAACCAGGAGACCATGAGTTCTAGTTCCACCTTAGAAACAAAGCCAGCTGGGTGACCTTGGGCCAGTCATTCTGTCTCTGCCCTAAGAAGGAAGTAATGGCAAGCCACCTTTGAAAAACCTTGCCAAGAAAACTGCAGGGACTTTTCCAGGCAGTTGCCGGGAGTAACACTGACTGGAAGGCACACCCCAAAAAACTAGTGACGTACTGCATCTGTGAATTTTTGTCCTTTGAAGTCTTAGGAAATGCCCATAGAAACCTGTTTGATTAATAGAGGAATTTTCTTCATGTGAAGAGAGCAGCCAGTGATATTTACAGGAGATCTAATTTTGTTGTGGGAGGTATTTCTGAAAATGTCATTACTTAGCAGTTTTCTGTATATCTTTTCCAGGCTTGTATGGATGTAAGAGCCAGTTCTGTCTTCTGGCAGCAAATGGAACTGGCTGAGACTATACAGAACCAGCCCAAATTACCAGAGTGGCTTTCTACACACCCATCACATGGGAATCGAGCTGAACATTTGGACAGACTGATACCAGAGGTTAGTCACTCTTTGTAAACCTTGTGTGCTCTGTCTTTCTTGTTAATCACAGAGGCTTCCCTCCATATTAAATGACTCAGAAATGAGATGATGACAGTGTCCACTCCTCTTTAAAATGTTGCTGATAACTATACAATATGCACGTTACAATCTACCAGCGATGATGCTTTACTTTTTCCTTCCCCTTTTTTCTAAAGAAAATTGTCACCAGGTTGCATACTGTCAATTTGCACTGTGTTTTGCAATCCATGCATAGGCGCTTCAAAATAATAATGAAATAAATTATACAGAAATTGGCTAGTATAGATATACCATTAGATGACAAGGGGTGAGTTTTTATAATTTACTTTCCAGTCTTCCCTCCAGTCAGATGTTCTGTGGTAACAATACTGAGTGGACTGCTGTGTGTGTGATCTATTTATTATTCTGTCTCCTTCATTTGTTTACTCCCCTAGCCATTGGTACTGAAAAGTTCATGTTACTCAACTCCTCCACTTCTTCTGATGAGAGTTACTATCTGTAAATTGCTTGCTATTGGAATTGATGTCATCGTATGTATGACTGCTATTTTCCCCAAATGTGATTCCCATCCTTGTTCAAAGAGCTGAGAGGGGAGGCGATTGTGTGGAATCCTGCCCAGCGGATTCAGAATCCTGAATGTGGTTTGTGATGTAACAAATAAGGAGAAAAAGTTAACTGAAATGGTATGTAGTGTATGTGTGTGTCTCCTAGTATTCCATGGCAGAATAAAGCATTGCATCAGAAATGTATGGAATTCATACGGTTGACTTCAGGGAAATTACAAGGAGCCTCTTATGGAGTAATACATAGTGCTTATTCTCAGTATAATGAAGCATGTGGAAATATGCATGGTTTCTCTATTGTTTGTGGATTTGCTGGACACACAGAATATAAACTAAGCTTGCATTTTATAAGTGTTGATAAACATAAGAACTCTGCTGGGTTAAATACTCATCTAGACCACAGAATGAGAATAGCCAACAAGATGCCTGTGGGAAATTCACAAGCAGGAAAAAGTAGAGTTTTTACGTTGCAGCCTAAGGCAGAAATCCTCGGCTTCTTTAATCAGTGGCACACTTGGAATTTTGAGAGGTTATTGTGGGCACTGTGACTGCTATGGTGGTGGATAGAAGTCCTTTAATAAAATTGTTGTCATGGTGACACGACCAGCTTCGGTCAGTTTCTTTCTCTCTTTCTGTCTCTCTCTCACACACATACGAAGCGTGGAGCCCAGGCTGCATCAAAGGAGAGATTCATGGCCATACTGGCACTGAAGGGCACCATTTTGGGAACCTTTGCAGTCATTCACAAGATTTACACTAAGCAAGATAAAATGATCAAACTAATCTTCATGTTGATTTACAATATGTACCATGTTGTTCTCTTGCAATTTTAAAACTTTTATATCTAAAGAGGCGACACCTTGTAAGATCTGGGCAACGTAAACAATAATGGCAACATACTTGTCTTCCTTAGTATCTAGGTGGTAGGACTCCAATATAGTGTTAAAGATTGCATCTCCCCACCCCCATATTTATATAAGGGATAGTAAAGTAGATAATAAATCAGATTTTCAGTTGAAGAAAACAGAGCATTAATGTAAAAACACACAGTATATCTTTCAGTAGCTCGTGTTGCTTCAATTCCTAAAGGTTGCACATAACCATCATGAGAAGCAGTCATGAATAGTCTAGTTCCATTCTAAAGCTGCTGAAGTGCCTGTTGTAATAATTTGTAATAGCAAATTCTATAATTTAATTAAGTTTTATATGAAGAAGTATTTCCCTTTTCTGTCCTGACTGTCTCACTATTTCAACTTAATTGGATGTCCCCAGATCTTAGTGTTATGAAAGATAAAAAGTTTTCCTTTGCTGTTTCTACAGAATACATGATTTTATGTAGGAATACTATCTTCCTGTTTACTCACACATTTTAAAACTGAAAAGAGCAAAAGTTATAACTTTTCACTATTATAAAGTTGTTGCAGTCCAGCGTGTGATCATTTTGATTAGTCTTTCCCAAAATTTCTTTCAAGTCAGCAATATTCTGACCCATTCTTTAAGATGGGTGTATAGAGTATCTCAAATATGATCATAGTACATTGCCTTAAAACATCATGATACTGACAGTTTTTTAAAAAAAATTCCTACTAAGCCTAGATAAGGAATTTCCTGCACATGGAGTTGATGTTTTCGATAAATTATCCACCACAGCCATGTGATCCCTTCCCAGGACAGTTCTTGCTATCTCAGATTCCATCAATAAAGTTGAGATAGTTTTTCCAAGTTTCATCACTACATACATGCTTGCATTGAATAGTATTTGTCATTGAAATGCCTTTTCCCTGAGTTTAGTTACTGTTTTTCTCTCCTCTCCTCCTCCTCTTTAGATCTTCAATGTCATTTTTTATTTAACTGTTCTAAATAATTTGTTGCCATCAGAAACCAACTCCAAATAATTTATGAACAAGTTAAAACATTCGTTAATTTCTCAGTTTGGATCAGATGAATTTGCAGCCTCCACAACCCTTAAATTATTGGAAATATTGGAAAAGGTCTTGGAGCCTAAACCTACACCTTAGTTACATAAACAGTTGAAGAGCATTACTAAGATAAATATTGTTAATTTAGAAAGACTTTGGAATTAAGAGTTGGAACAATCTGTTTTACTAAATCAATGATCTTGCATTCTAAAGAATGTCACACATTTATCTTAAGAACGTAAAATGAGATTAAGTCATCAAAAATTCTGTTTCCTGTTTATTGTACATTGTGGTTCAAGAAAACCTGGATATCAGACATTTTATGTTGGAGATATAACAAGTTTGAAGGAACTTTAATATGTGGTTTGGGTTTCCCTTTGGTGTCCCATTTGGTTTAAAATACTAAACATGGTATTGAAAAGAGAATTAAGATTAATCTTGCAAATGTAATGTTAATTATGTAGCAAAAATTTGGAATTTGGGATATAGTAACGAAAATAATAATGTATAGCTAGAAAGAAACTGCAGCCCCAGATGTAAAATATTAGACTGAAGAAATGTGTTCATTTCCAGCCTTTGAACTTGCTCTAATGCCATAATGGAAAGGCTGATCAAAATGGTTCCATGTGGTCAGTGTACTTGCTGTTCAGAGTGAATCATCAACAGACACACAGAGATAAATAGCCATCAGTCAATCAATCAATCAATCAATAAATAGCCATCAATAGACACATAGAGATAAATAGCCATCAATCAGTCAATCAATCAATGAATAGCCATCAACAGGCACATAAAGATAAATCACATGTACATATCATTCAAAAGAGACAATTAAAAAACCTAGGAAAGAAACAAAAAGACTAGAGCACATCTCCTCCAGCAGTGAACAGTCAGATAAGCAGGGATCAATACCAGACAGACAAACAGAAAACAATACGCTAAAGGGACCATCAAGAAGACCCCCCTCCCAAAAAAAACCTGACAGAGCAGGCCCACACTCACTCAACTCACATCATACATTGATGATGTTACCTAGTTGGGTAAGGGGATGTCTGCAAGCAAACAGCCAAGCTCAGAGAACACCAAGAACAATATTTACTGGATTTCCTATATGATATACTGTATATTGCTGACTGTTCACTGAAAGTTGGCTTCTTGTAGTGATGGTAGTTTCACCAGGAGATTGGCAAGAAAGAATTGGATAGTACAGTGTACCTCTTTCCCTTAAATGCATAGTATATAGAACTTTATATTCCCATGTAATGGTTGAGTATGCAATACAGAATTAAGCATTTATTTTAGTTATTAAGGATTTTGTTCTGTTCTTGGCATGGGACACCTGTGTAGAGTGGGATGAGCTTTCTTATCTTCAGTGCTCCTTAACCTTGAAATGGTCTCATTGCCACCTGGTATAAACAGATACTTACTAATTTTGGGATGGTCTCATCCGTGGCAGGAATAGGTGGAGTTTTCCAAGGACAAGATAAACTTTTTTTCTTTGGCCTTGGCAAAATCAACTGAGATGGCGCTATTGAAAATAAGGGTGACATTGGAGTACATATAAGCTGTTCAGAAACCCTCATGAGATAGAACTTCAGTCCAGACTCAAATGGCAGAAGGTGCTGTATATTTGGCGGCTTTGAGTGGATCTGTCATCTCTTTGGGTTTTCCTGACTGGCAGAACCGGCATAAGCTCTTCCTTTCCTTTCTTTTGTTCTTCAATGTTTTTGATTTCTGTGTTATTTTCTCATATTGCCTTGGAATAAAGTCTTGAGTGTTCATAATGGTGTGGTCATTGTTTGTGCATCCAAAAGTACCTGTGACCTAACCCCACTTGGCTGGGGACAGAGCATTACACTTCTCCTTCTAAATTTCAGCCTATGTCACCTAACAGTTTCTGTTTTTTGTTACTGTGTACTGTAATTCTGATTCCTGGTTGAGGTGAACCATGTTGTTTTAACTCAGATGTAACCTGTTCTTCAGAAGTTCAATTCCCTGTAGGCCCCAGTGGCCAAAGGTTATGAATTCTGTTTCTGTTTTCTAGATGATTTATAGCTAGAAATTTAAGTATTCAGTTCTGTCCCCATCCTCCAGTTTTCTCCTACCAACTAGCTCAAAATTTGCATGAATCCCACAATGTAATTCCTGCATGTCTACTCAGAAATAAGTTCCATTGAAGTCAGTTAAACTAATGTTAACTGCTAGAGTTTAACTGTTAGTTGCAAAAATGAAGGCTTTTCAGATTTTAACTAATCATAATGTTAGCCTGAGGTACTTGTACGGCTGTGATTGTGTGTGATTACACACACACATTACAATACTTTGCATATGTTTTTCTTTTTAAGTGGACCCACATACCCTGATGTGTGAGAGTACCTCTTGAAATGGACTCATATGGTTACGCTCATCCTGATTTGTGATCACAATGCATATGAAAAGAAAAAAGATATATTCTTGTGGAAAGCTATTACTTTTATAGCAAGAAGTAGAAGGAGAT